CTAATGCTATGGCCATTTGTGCGGTGTGCGTTAACTTTTTAGAATATGGGCAATAACTCATGAACCCCTTGGCCAATCAGTGTCAAATTTGTCACATGGTATCCTTGGCCCAAGGGCTACACTTTATACTAAAATAAGGGTTGGGACCCTTAAACAAGGGGAGATAATCAGGAAAACAAAACCAAAAGTACTGGTTGCTAAAAAATCTTCTCCAGGACCACCAGGCAGATTTTCACCAAACTTACATACAAGGATCAGGATATGTTGAAGATTAAAAATTGTTCAAGGCATGACCCTGGGGCAAAGGGCGTGGTCTCAAGGTCACTTCAAAGTTGACCTAAATTTACAATTAATAAAAACGTTTATATTTTGCTTACTATTAGGACTAGGATCATCAAATCTTGTAAGTTGATGCATCTCAGGACTTCACATCATGTTAACTCAAAAGTAGGTCACGGTGACCTACTTTTTAAATTTTGTAAGCATTTGTTTTCAAATTGATTTGAAGGCATATTTCGGGCACTTTAAGGCCTATGATGATCAAACTTTGTCAGTTGATGCATCTTTGGTCCTTCAACAACGTCAGCTTAAAAGTAGGTCACCGTGACTTACTTTTGACATTTTCGGCTTTATTAAAGTACCTTGGGTATTTATTGTCTTAGAATCATCAAACTTTGTGAGTTGATACGTCTTAGGTTTTCGAAGAGTGACGACCAAAAAGTAGGTCATTGTGATCTACTTTTAACATTTTTTTCGCTTTGTTTATTATATCTACGGTACTTATTGGCTTAGAATCATCAAACTTTGTAAGTTGATGCATCTTGGGTTTTCGGAGAATGATGTCTAAAAAGTAGGTCATGGTGACCTAATTTTTTGACATTTTATGGCTTTATTTAAGTAACTAAGGTAATAACTGGTTTAGAATCACTAAACTTTGTTTGTTGATGCATCTTTGGTTTTTAGAGAATGTCGACCAAAAAGTAGGTCATGGTGACCTACTTTTGAATATCTCAAGGACTTATTGGCTTAGAATCATTAAACTTTGTCAGTTGATATATCTTGGGTTTTCAGAGAATGTAGACAAAAAAAATAGGTCACTGTGACCTACTTTTAAATATCTCAATTACTTATTGGCTTAGAATCTTCAATCTTTGTTTATTAATGCATATTGAGTCCTCAGAAAACTTCAGTCTTAATAAAGGTCACTGTGATGTACTTATGGTTTTTTTTTATAGCTTTATTATTAAAAATATTTTCAGCCCTAATTGGCTAAGAATCATCAAACTTTGTCAGTTGATGCAACTTGGGTCTTAGGATACTTAGGGTTAGAGGCTTCAAATAGAAGTGATGGATTGTACAATTTATCAGAAGAGCGATTCAAGGCCCTTGGGCCTCTTGTTTTGAAGTTAAGGTCAAGCCTTCATGATATGTATTTGCATTCATTGAAGGCTGGCATTTTATATAACACAAGCTTCATTATTGTGTTGTTTTATACGTAGACACGTAGATATACGTTTATACGTAGATGCATAGATATACGTTCAATGTTGAGTTGTTCTTTACTGCCGTATGTAAATACAAGGATATTATTTACAGGTTTTTGGATATTCAGGAATTATCTTGAAATTTTAAGAATACAGTTGATGTTTCTTATTCGTTATATATTTTTGAATCATTCCATAAGCTGCACCGCAGGGGTGATAAGGAAGCATACAAAATATTCTACCTTGACTAAATCAGTGCTACATTATGACGTCATAGTAGGCGAGATGACGTCAATTTCAGAACACAAATTTTCGTAATATTGGTATTTAGAGATGTAATTTAACTCTAGAAAATGAATAGAAACGTGTAAACATAACAAAAATAGAATGTTTTTATTTTGTTATGATGTATCTGTCATCTTGATTAAAATTTACCACCGATGACGTCATATGTGTACATCAAGTAACTTGGTAATCCGGTCATGTCGTGTAAAGAGAATTTGGCTAAGACGACATGTACAAATATACGTAAAATGGAGTTTTTAAGGAAATATTGTGAATATTATGTGAAATTCATATGGAGTTCACTTATATAAACAGGTATGCTAATCTATTTTAAGTGATTATATTCTCTTTCCAATATTGAGTGCCAGGTCATATCTCGGTCGGCCTTTCCTCTGTCGTTTGTGACAAAAATAATGCAACAGAACAACAATAAGCTGGATATTTCAAAACATAAGATTTGTATAGATGGAAAGTTTGCCTTATAAACAAACTTGGAAAGTACTGCTAGAATCCCGAGTTGAGCATGATTTTACGAAAAATCTCGGTTCATATGCATAAAATTCAAAACATAGGGTAAGTTTTCGTGCGAATGTGTGGAATAATTATTTTACTGATTGGACTGTGGGATTCTAGCAGCACTTTTAAGGCAAAATAGATGTTTTTCAACAATATTATTCACTCAAAGAAATTATTAAACTCCGAGGTATTGTTGTTCTTTTAGCTTTTTCATTAAGGAAAATTTCGCTATTAATAGAAGTCACGTGATGCCGTGGTGGTGGTGCACGTCATTTTTAGTTAGACACTCTTTTATCTGTATGCAAAAGTTAATAACAGTTTACATTTATCAGTGATTTTGGTAATTCATCAAACTTGATTTTCATTAAAAAGTCTTCATTAAAGATGAACAATTTTATGTCTGGGTGTTTCTCGAGTTCGTCTTTAAATCTCTTTTTGACACTTTTGAGGAAAATCTAGGAAAGATAAACAGATCTATTAACACAGTGTCTTAATTCTTCATTATGTTTGGTTGACTGGACTTGAATTCCCAGACATTGAGAAAAATTATAAAAGACCAGTAAGGTCTTGAACACATATAATTATTTAATTCTCATATATATATGACCTAAATGGATGTATCTGATTGAATATTAACTTAATTAACATTAAATTTATTTACTTTTGTCCCATGTGATACATATCTAATACACAGGAAAAATAGCAATACTAGTAATCAAACACTCTGAAATATTGGTTATTAGTCAAACTCTAGTGCTAAGAGAAAAAAAAAGTCCAGAAAGAGAAAATAGGATTAAGTGCCCAAGCATTAATTATATGTATCCTATTTTTGTATCACATTTAATGAAAAAGATTTAGATGCATATAAAGCAGCAACATATACATGTAATTTCATATTCGAATAAAGAGAACTTTAATTATTTTAACTTACCACTGCTTTGATCTGTACCTGGCGATGGTCATATGCATCCATCATAAATGGCCCTGACACTCCATACTTTTAGATACAAGAAATATAAAAAAAACTGTAAGTATACAGCAAAAAGATGGCACTACAAAAATAAATCTATCATCAAATGTGATTGACGGACGAAGTTTGGCAAGCGCAAAATTATATTTAAATTATTTAATTTTAAGTAAATGACAGAGTTAAATAAAATAGTTCATACGTTGTCTAAATACACAAATTTTTCTTCTTTTGCTTATAAATTACTTACCAGTATTATGTGCGCTGCCTTGCGGCATATTTCCTCTGCAATGTCATTTTCGAGTCTACCTTTCTCTTCTTCCAACACTTGCATCAAAAATGACTATATATGAAAACAATAAATGAAGGCCAGATTTAATGCTATGAAAAAATTACATGTAATTGATTACATTAAATATAGTTTGGACTAATTACATAAATATGTTTGGTAGTGTTACCAATATCTTTAGGACATTATTTACAAACCTTTGTAAAAGTCTGAAAGCCAGTCCCCTCACTCTTAAATGTTTCTTGCTTCAGCTAAATTAGGAAATAAAATACCGGTATTATTATGCATACTAATATTTAAAACGCCAATAATAATTTACATGTACAACAACGGTTAAATTAAGTATAAAGCAATTTAATATGATTATTATATGTTTATGTACATGCAAATAATAAGACTGTTAAAAATAAGATTTAATATACAGACTTAGTTTTCACATTCTGTTAAAATTAAATTAAATTAAAATACATGATCTACCATATCTAGAACTTTCATGAATTCCTCCAACACTTTATTAAATATTCCTATATATTTCTCTTCCACAAGCTGAAAGAAAGATTTAAAAAGAAATTACTTTTCACATATTGTAACTGAAGAAGGTAATTACAATGATGTGTACCTGAACAGTAATCAAGGAAAACCCTAGCCATTACCCATGTTATTTTTTTTTGAAGATTTTCTTATTTTATTTTCATGTAAAGCTTTGGCCATCTATAGCTTATATAAATTGTCACAGGGCTCTCCCTTGCCCATGCGGGGACAAGAACTTTTTCAAACTTGAACATACATTTCATGGAAATGGATTGATAACCTTTGCGATAATCTTCTTGAAAAGTTAATTAAGCATTTTCTGAATAGCCATTTGTAATATATTGCATTTGACCCAATAGTCCTCTATATAAACACCCCCTCCCTTTCCGACAACAATAAAAAGTTCATCAACATTACGAAAAAATTTAAAATCGTCCTCATACATTTTTATAAATGTTAAGTGCATGCTGCATACAAATAAGATGTTTCTTACCAGAGTCCTTTTAATGCTGTCCAGCATTTTGATTTTGAACTCACTAGGTAAATTTCACAATCAAAGTTGATTTGGACTATTGTGACGTTTTATGACGATTTCTATTGTGACGTTTTATGACAAATTTGTATTGTGGCGTTTTATGACGACTTGTATAATAACGTCATAGGACACATGGCGTAACTGATAAAGTTTTGTTAATAACAAAAGACAGATAAAAATCTATAAAAGAAAAATAAAGAGAAAAATGACAGGTAAACAGTCAAGTTTTGTTAAAGTATTCAATATTACGTATTTTGCGATTTTTTTAAGGACATGGGCAGAATCAACATAAATTTGTTGTTTTTTTTTCCAGCGAAAATCTTCAAAAAATTCTCCTAGCATATGAATCTTTTCGAATTTTATCTAAAGTTTTAAGGGTTTGCTTTTGTGTTCAGCCAAGTGAAACTCGTATAAAATAAAAATCTCAATATCTTAATAAATACTTCTTGCTTTTTCATAAAACTTAACCCATGGCACCTTCTGTTGCAAAGCTGTCTTGAAATGTATTCAATTTGGTTGTCACTTGCAATGTCTTGCAGCAGCAATGTGCATAATACACTTGCAGGACTGCACAGCTGCAGGTCTAATACAACAATAAAATGACATTTGTCGTATACCTACAGATAGTTGAACGTCATGGGTACAACTATTTGTTTTGTTCCTAGCAATTATATGCGTCTTTTTTCTATAGTTGTATGTTTTTCACCACCTAGGCATGTTTGCTATGCGAAATCGGTGGGCTGCCATTCTCATGATTCCGGAATTGAAAACTATTGAATATTTCTGTTATCTGTTGTCTCTAGTGCCCCAATTACACAAAGCAATTGTAGAGAGATATCTCTTAAAACATGTCCATGTGTTGAAAGTATCGATCGACATATTTAATACTGTTTTTTTTAAGAGTTACATAGATGTTTACATCATATCATAGAATGCTCCTTCCTGGATTTTACAATGGACCTGATAAATCAATACGCGCCCAGTTTTAGCAGTTCCGATTGAAGTTAACCCCTGTTATTTCTTTTGCAGGTAAGGCTATAAAATATTTTTGTTAAATAAGTATATTAATCCTACAGGTACAGTGCGATGTCAAAAAATTTTAAACACTATTGCACGAAAATAAAGAACTATATTCGCTATGCGTAGTTTATTTCTGAAGTCTGTCATGCGATATTCGGCTAAAGTGAAAGTAGGAGTTGGTAAGTCGAATTTTTGTGTTTATTGTGAATTATGAGCCTTATCTCAGATATCTTACATAACTGCTAGTGTCAGTAATACATTTTGAGTATGACAAAGCCTGTGATCTAGTGCACATCAATTTTAAATAGGTTAAACATTATACGGAGGATCCAAAAATTTCCACGTGGTTCTTGCAGACCGCGATTAGGTAGCGAGGAACTAATAAATGTTACTTTGTTTCAAAATACCAAAAATTTTCGAAATTGTTTCCAAATACTGTGAAGTTAAAAACAGGGCTTCAAATATTATGAGTAGAGTAAATTTGGTTTTATTAACGAGCGATTAATACTTGTGTAAGATCGGATCATCCTTCATTGAGCCTCAGTCACTCAAAGTTAAATGTCCAATGACAGCTACCTGAAACGGCTCTACGTAGTAAACAAATATGGTAAATCAGTTGTGTTACTTGTAAAGGAAGATTTTGATATTCAAATGTTATTTCTTTTTTGTTGTATTTTTTGTGAAAAGAAGTGCACATGGTGCAAGTACTATAATTCTTTTCAAGTCATTTTGGACCATACTCATTCTGATTTGCTGAATGATGTTCGAGATATGGAAGCAAACCTCTATTCTTTTAAGACCTCAGTGATAAAAATTTTTGGGATGCACTTTCAGTAATTAAAAACCATTCTGAATCAGTCAAAACACTGACACCCTTCAACAAAGACAGACTAATATTATTTAATAGCTAGATTTAATGTAAAGATTTTCCTTTGAACTTTTTAATAAAATTTATTGTAACTATGTTTACCATGTTAACAGAATGCCTTGTTTCACTAAAAAGAACATTGCTCAGATATTTCTCTGGACTACCAATTTATGTACTTCATGTGATGCCTGCGTTGCAGCCCTCCCAAGAACCCCCCTTGTAGGTGTTCTATAATAAGGTATGAGATGAGTTTTAAGTGATTCTGTAAATTTTAAACGAGGGTTTAACACAGTATAATGTACTAGCTGTTATATCATAGTGAGCTGATTAGTCAGTTTCATTTTGTATTATTGAATTCAAATGTTCTTCTATGTGTATAGAATGGAAGAATGTATAATTTTTATGATGAGAAATGTATATGCAGTTGGATGAAAAGAGAGATGTTGTTTAAATTAATGTTTATATGTGTTCATCAAATTGTCTCAAGCCATGGTCAGAGTCTGCCTAAGCTCTCTCTTACAGTGCAAGAACTAACTTTGTTTCAGCATCGATGCTGATTTGAATGCTTTCTTTGCTTGCTTATACTGATAATTGGCAATGCTTAGCAGCTAGCTGTTTTTTTTATGCTTCTCCTGATGCTTGGTGGTTGCTGAATTAAAGCTGATGCTTATTTTGCTGATGCAGATGCTGATTTATGTAACAAAATTAGTTCCTTGTACTGTACCCATGGCTGCTTGAGCAAGTAAATTAATAATCAAGCCATATGTAGGCCTATAACATTATGTTATAAATCAATGTACATGTACGTATATTGCATTGACCTTAACAGTAAACAACAAATGTTCGGTAAATAGTCTGGATGAAGAAATTAAGGTCAAATCAGAGATTATTTTTAAGTAATAAAAATCTTCAATCTCTTTTGGGAGGCACTGTTTCTGATCATCATCTTGTAGCTTACTAACACAGGTCATTATATCAGGTTTTTAAATTCTGCAATCAAATCCTGACCTTGTCATTTAACCTTAAGATTTTGTACTGAAACTTGTTTGCCTCATTTAAGAACATGATCTTATATGCTTGTCTCATTTACTTTCCAAAGAAGAATGACATGATCACCAGTTGCGTTTACCTTGATCTTATTTATGGCTGACCTCTTTGTATACAAATTAGAATATTTATCTCTAGTATATGGATTAAACTACTGTGATCTACACAATTGTAAATTAAAATAAGAAACACATTTATATTCAATGCAACAAACAGTTTTGGCAAATATTTACAATGTTACCATAATTGCTGAGGGATGTGTAACCTTTGACCCTGAAATATACTTGTCTATCTTTTAATGCTTCTTAGTCATGATGTAAAGATTTATCATCCAATTCAATTTTCTTCTTTGATAGTGATACTGTATTGGTTTTTTTAATGTTATATTATTTTACAGATTTCAAAGATAAAGAGGAAATGGTTCTAATGATAGAGATTGTCCATGTTGGTTTGTCTCAATCTTTTGGAAAACAGTGAGAAAATATCAGCAGCAAATGAAGACTCTGATCTAATTTATTACTATGTGACTTGAAAATTATTTGATTTTATGGTAGTATTTACACATGTGTTGAACTTTCCGAACATCGTTGAAAAAGATCATAATTATGATGACAATTAACAAAAATAGTTAAAATACATATATTAACTTTCCACAAGTTTCCAATGAAGAACATTTTAGGATCTTGGTAAAAGATATTATAATTAGATTTTATACCTAATTTATATATGTTCTTGTGCAGTGCATTAAATGCACAAAATGTTTTTAAATCAGTCTTATGAAACCAGTGCTGAGAACACAGGTCTCAGATATCCTCATACTGCAGTTATATTGTTAAGATTGAAGTTTATTTTTAAAATAATACCTTAATTATATCTGTAAAGAAACTTTTTACAAAATTAGTCAAACTTGGATATGCTGGTTAACATGTTAAAAGAAATATAATATTCTGGAAGTGATGAAGAATTTTTTTTAAAAAGTTCATTTATCATCCTTTTGTTTTGTTCTTCTTTGTGAATTTTTTTTTTTACAAAATCAAAGACATTTTAATATCTTAATTAAGTCATCATAGCAAAAGGCTGTATGGAGTTTTTCTGATCAAAGGGTCTCTGGTGTCTGTTAACTCTGTTTATTTGTCATCCATGAAAATTAAACCCTAAACTAGGGTAACAAAGTCTTGCATGGGAATGTGTAGTAAAAATGGTCCTTTAACGAGCAACAGGGTAATGATTTACTCATAGTTAAATGCGAGCATTCTCAAATATAGTGAAGATTCAAGTTGGTCTAAATCATGGACCAGACCTAATATTAATAATATTAAAATATTTCCCATTTGTATTTTCATTTTTTTCTTCTTCTGGGATCAGATTTTATATAACTGGTCATTGCACGTATACATACATGTGGGGAAAAACCAGTAAACATTTTTCTTCAGAATAAGCATTGTTAACCATATTGATGATGAAATATCCTCATGTTGTGGAATCAATTTTGGAGTAGATGTGGCCTTATGACCCCTAAGTGGGGCTAAATATTGGCCCATATTTGTTTTTCACGAGAAATAAGGGGGATACGAATGTCGTAGAAATCTGAAGAACACCAATATAACTCGTAGGTAAACATTGTGGGCCAAGTGTCATTTAAATTGCACACTTTCATTACCTTACAGATTGTTAATGTCTTATTTAGCATATTTTTTTAAAGAGAAAATTAATTGTCTAACATTAATTTCCCTGTTTTGTACACACCTTAGATTAATCCTTTAGATAAATTTGGGCTTTCATATAAAGTGCTATTTATAGAACAACAGTGAGTCTCTTTAATTCTATTTTTAACACATTGCCATGTGGTTGGCACAACTTTCATGGCTAACATTTTCTTGTTGAACTGACAAGTATGCATTTAAAGAATTGTACCTATTGCAGTCAGTTTTCATTTAAAACAATGGTTCTTCACAAATAGTTGTAGCCACTTTGTTTATTTAACTATTTCATATTTTGTTGGATTTTTTAATGCACTGCTAAAACCTGTGGCTGCGCAGTCCTGCAGGTGTATTGTGCACTTCATAGCTGCAAACTACTGCAAATGTCAATGTAGCTGCATATACCCAAAGATGGTTTTCATTGTGAAGATGAAATGGGCCAGTTTTCAAGTGTTGGCAAGGTTTATTTTTAGCTCTACTGGTCAAAGACCAGAAGAGCTTATGCGATAGTAATGCGTCCGTCGTCCGTCCGTCTGTCTGTCTGTCTGTCTGTCCGTCTGTCTGTCTGTAAACAATTTTTCAAAATGCTACTCCTCCTACAGTTTTGGTCTGATTTCAATATAACTTGGCACACAAGTAGACTACACTAAGATACATAATTCTGTGTATCGGTTTTTGATTTCGATGAACGTTGTTGCCGTGGTTACTAAAAATAGAAATTTCTGTGAAATTCTTTCAAAATGCTACTCCTCCTACAGTTTTGGTCTGATTTCAATATAACTTGGCACACAAGTAGACTACACTAAGATACATAATTCTGTATATCGGTTTTTGATTTCGATGAACGGTGTTGCCGTGGTTACTAAAAATAGAAATTTCTGTCAAATTCTTTCAAAATGCTACTCCTCCTACAGTTTTAATCTGATTTCAATATAACTTGGCACACAAGTAGACTACACTAAGATACATAATTCTGTGTATCGGTTTTTGATTTCGATAAACGGTGTTGCCGTGGTTACTAAAAATAGAAATTTCTGTCAAATTCTTTCAAAATGCTACTCCTCCTACAGTTTTGGTCTGATTTCAATATAACTTGGCACACAAGTAGACTACACTAAGATACATAATTCTGTGTATCGGTTTTTGATTTCGATGAACGGTGTTGCCGTGGTTACTAAAAATAGAAATTTCTGTCAAATTCTTTCAAAATGCTACTCCTCCTACAGTTTTGGTCTGATTTCAATATAACTTGGCACACAAGTAGACTACACTAAGATACATAATTCTGTGTATCGGTTTTTGATTTTGATGAACGGTGTTGCCATGGTTACTAAAAATAGAAATTTCTGTGAAATGCTTTCAAAATGCTACACCTACTACAGTTTTGGTCTGATTTCAATATAACTTGGCACACAAGTAGACTACACTAAGGTACATAATTCTGTATGTCATTTTTTCACTTCAATGAATGGTGTTGCCATGGTTACTAAAAATAGAAATTTCTGTTAAATACTCTCAAAATGCTACTCCAAATACAGTTTTAGTCTAATTATAATATAATGTGGCATGCAAGTAGACTACACTAAGAACATAAAGAGACTTAATCAAGAATCATTATTCTATTTATTGCTGTTGAAAAGTTTCAATTTCCAACTGCCTAAGTCTTTTCTCTTCCTTTGCTATAAGTACAAACCAGTAGAGCTTCAGTCTCGACAGAGACTTCTGGTTAAAGATATTAAGGTTTCTATTTTCAGTGAGTCTCACTTGGCTGCACACAATAGCAAACCCTTAAGTACGCCTCCGTGTAAAAATCATGCAGAGGGTGATTCTTGGGGGGTTTCAGAATTTCTTCAAACTTTGCATGTTGGTAGAGTATGCTAAGATACTCCAAAAAAATTTTTTTTTTTAAATTCAGCCATTGGTAACCATGGCAACCGATAAACTGTTTTGGGCAAAAAATGGCTGAAATTTCCTCTAAAATCAGGCAAAAATACCAATAATGAAGATTAAATGAAAAGAAAACTAAACAATTAAACACATTTATGTTTATTTTTTATTAAAATACAGCATGAGTAGTTACTATCCATATCTAGTCAAAATATTTTTATGACCAGTAATGTGTTCTAATTTTAAGCTAAAAAGGGGGAGATAATCCATATTGGCAAAAAATGTAAAATATCCATTTTTTAGGATTTTTATCTATCAAAAATTTCTAAAAACCCCACAGACAAACTAAAGAGCCATGCTAGTTTTATGGAGACTATAGTCTAAAGTCAATAAAATTATTAAAACATTTTTGTGCAAATGATTTTTAATTTCCCAAAACAACTGATGAATTTTGTACAAAAATGGTAATTTCACTTTTTTTGTCACAGTCCAATATATGGCATATATGTTTACATGTAAGAAATAAATAGCATTTCAAAACCATTTTTTTTATATTTCCATTTTCAAATACAATTTAAATTATTTACTTTTCATAATTAATCCAAATATTACCACATCCAGTAATAGTTTTTAAGTTTAAGCGGAAAAGGGGAGATAATCCATGTCAAGAAAAACTGAAATTATAAATTTTTAAAGGATTTACAGCTAAATTCAGCTATATTATTAAAAAATTTAAAGAAAAAATACACTACAGCCAAACAGAAAGGCAGTGTTTATTTCCTAGACACCATACCTTATGGCAAATAAAATATTAAAAACATTTTGTGCAATTGATTATTAATTTCCAAAAGCCATTGAAGAGTTTTTTTTATAACAAATGGGAAATTCACTTTTTCGTCACGGTCAAATAAATATCATGTATATATTTTATATGCATGTTAAATTATGAATAGCATTTCAATTTTCAATTTTAAAGGGATTTACAGCTAAATTCAGCTATATGATAAAAAATTTAAAGAAAAAATACACTACAGCCAAACAGAAAGGCAGTGTTTATTTCCTAGACACCATACCTTATGGCAAATGAAATATTAAAAACATTTTGTGCAATTGATTATTAATTTCCAAAAGCCATTGAAGAGTTTTATACAAAAAATGGGAAATTCACTTTTTCGTCACGGTCAAATAAATGCCATGTATATATTTAATAGCATTTCAAAACAATTTCTTTATAGTTCCAAATCCAAATACAAGACAATTATTTATTTTCATTAATCAAATTATATCTACAGTATTATTTCTAATTTCAAGCTGAAAGGGGGAGATAATTCATGTTGACAAAAAACAACAAAATATCATTTTTTGAGGATTTCAATTATCAAGAAAATAAAATATATCTATGATTTAAAAATAGCCAAACAAAAAGGCTGAGTAGGTTTCATAGATACCATAACCTATGGAAAATTAAAAAAAATCATGTGCACAAAAATCATTGTGATTAAGAATTTCACCAAAAAAAGAAGTAGCATCATCTTTTGTCAGAGTCCAATATATACACCATGTACACACGCCAGTACATGTTTACATGTAAGAATATCAGTTTACAGTTTAAAATAAATTCCTTTACATTTCCAAATTCAAATACAACACAAATTATTTTTTTCATTAATGAACAGTAAAATGTAAAAAAGATTTGAAAATATTAATCATATTAATATTGATTACTAGATAGTAGATACACTTATCATATAATCATTGTATATGTAAACACAATTTTTAAAGTTTTACATCTTTGTAAGGTGCAGTCATGCCACTCAGAATATCACTAATCTCCCCTGCTTCTCTTCTGTAGTAAGTGACTGTCCTTTGTTTATTAGCCTCTTCTAAAAACACTTAAGATCCTTGGGAAGAGAATTTGCTGCCTGATTAACATTATCCAAAGTACCGTCATGGAATCCACTGAACTCTAAATCTCTGCTTTTTGACAG